CTTCACTGGGCCTTTGTTCCCCACCTGAAGGGGAGGCTGCTGGACCAGCTGTCTCTGAGATCTTGTCCCTACTCCCCTGGCCAGGCCCAGTCTGCCCCCTGTCCTAGTGAGGCAGGTCAGGGCTGCAGACATGCCCTGTGCCTCCATCTGCCACCGAGCCTCTCAATGTCCCCCACCTCCAGATACCTGTCTGGCTCTTTGGCCCCACCCACCTCCCCGGTGGACATTCCAAGCTTCGTCATTGGCTTTCGGTCTGATCTCCAACAGTTGGGGAGAGAACGCTGTCTCCCAGGGCAACAGAATTCCAGCACAGAACATTTCCATCTGCAGAACAGAAACTCTTGCCTCCCGTGAGCTGCCTTTTTGGCCTCTGATGACCCCATCCTTGAAGGTGGTGAGCCCTCGGAGGACCCGCTGTAACCCTGAGTGCAGAGTGGTCCATGAGAGAGAAAGAGCCTTGGGACTGTCTCTAGTGGCCACTGAAAACAAGGTCCCCATACTGCAGGGAACGCTGGTGAGAGCACCCACTATATCCGAGTCATCCAGCCTCTGGGTCTTACAGCCGGGCCGCCTGGTTCCATCCACCCCTCCCTCTTCACCAGGCTTCAGTGTCCTCATCTGTAGAATGGGATGATGACAGGGTCGGGTCAACCCCTGATCACTGGGTTTCTCTGGATCAGGTCTGGGATCGTTGTGGAAAGCCACGAAGATGCTGTGTGCAAAGCCCCAGCTCACGGTGATACCTGTAAGGAGACACTGCAGCGGGCTCTTTCTGAAGGCCTCCCAGGGCCCTGCAGCTGGGCGGGGTCCTCGTTGTTTCTACTTCTGACTTGCTGTGTGGCTTTGGGTTTTCATGACTTCTCTGGGCCAATGTACCAGGAATTGAGGACCTTGTCCTCCCACTGACAACACTTTGAGCTCCCAAGTTGCCATCCCACTGTTCACCATCCAGGGTGGGGGGTGGGGCTGTGTCTCCCCACCCCTCCTCTTTCTCATTTTTCAGAGTCCAGGGAGCCTGAGGCCTGGGGGAGGGGAAAGGGGCCTGGGAGCAATGGGAGTGCCCTGTGCTGTTGGGCAATGACTCAAACAGATGTCCCCTTCCTCTGCTCTGCAGACGCCGGCACTTCACACGCGCGTGGATGCGTCATGAGCCTTCCACATATGCTGAGGCTGCCGTGGGTCTGTGCCCAACACCCACGGAGCTCCGGAAAATGACGAGCAGGAGGGAGGGCTGTGTAGGGAAGTGGCAGGGTCGGAGGGGCCTCGAGCAGGGGAAGTCGCTGGAACCCTGGTGGGCGCTTCAGAAGCCAGGGCAGGGAGTGCACGCAGGAGCCCAGCCCATTCACACCCCCTGCCTGGCACAGCTGCCCCCTCACTCAAAGCCTGCAAACAGGCCCGTGGACCGATGCTGACTGGTCTCTTCTCCTGCAGACTGAGATGACATCCTGTGCAGGGGCGATGTCAAGGGGGAGCAGGTTAAGGGAAAGGGGTCTTCTACTTTGCAAGCCCTCACCATGTGGGCGTCCACACACCTCTGCTGGTAGGACTTCCTAGTGGTCAGTCCCATCCTAGTTCTGAGGGGCTGGCCCCGGCTAGCAAGTGGGGTGTGCTTGGTGAAGAAGCTGAGTGTGGGCTTTGGAGCTGGTCAGATCTGAGTTGGCATCCAGCCTCTGAGAAGTCACTATCCTCTGATCCCTGGTTTTCTCTGTCTGTGGATCCCACCGCTCAGGGTCAAAGTCAAGGATAGAAGAGACAGTGCCTGCTCAATGTAATGCCTGACACACAGTGGGTGCTTCACAAACCCAGGCAGAGCCCAAGACGGAGGGGGACACTGTCACTCCCAGCTGGCCTTGAGGGGAGCCAACTCCTGGGAAATCACCTCCAGCAGCTTCACTGCTCACGAGGCGGTTCAGGGCTCTGGCCCCTGTCCTTTCCACGAGAGGGACGTGCAGCTCTGCCCCTGTTCGTGGAGCCCTTGAACCTGTCACCTCATTTCCAGGACAGCCTTCCTTACCCTCTCAGAGCACCCTGGCCAGGCTGTCGGGGGGATGGGAGTCGGGAAATGAAACAGACACCTCAAAAGCGAATACCTTCCCGACATATAAACTGAGTAGCGCACAAGAGTTGTAGAAGGCCCTGTGAGTGCCAGAGGGACAGAATGTTTTGTAGGGGCCATTAGTTCATGGAAGAGAGAGGCCACTTCACGTGGTGAAGAGGCCACGGAAGACTTCTCCCTGGAAATGGACATTTATGTGGGGCCCCGATGTAATCTGTGTGCTGTCTGGGGTTCTACTGTGTCCAACAGGCCAAGGGGCCGCCTCTGTGGCATTGGCTTGGCTCCCCTGCCTTGGTCCGAGTCAGTGGGACTAGGAATAAGTCACCTACTACCTGAACTGGAAAGGGACCACCTCCTCACTAGCTGGGGACATGGGCCACAGCAGTGCTGGGGTGAGGGTGTGGCTGGGTGAGAGGGGGAGGCCACCCTAGCCAGCCACTTCCTGCTCCATGGCTGGGTCGGTGCTGCTGTGAGATGGTCTGGCTGTTCACCCTTCAAAGGAGAGACCCAAGAGTGACCAGCCCCTCAGCCCCTCCAGCCCTGCCCTTACGCACTCAGCGTGCTCTGGCTCTGGGGCTGGCTGGAAGCACCTGCCCTGTGCCAGCTGTGGGCTCCTGTGGAAGTCAGAGTCATGGGGATGGGGTGGGGATGAAGAGCGTGGCTTTAATGTAGCTGCCAGATGTCCTTATATCACAAATTGCTTGGGCTTTCCCTAGGGCTGGCTGCAAGGTAGGGGTGGGGTTCATAGCTCTCCCATGGCTGTATAGCCTCACGCTCCTTTTGAGCCCCTGCACTGGGACCACCGGGCTCCGAGTCTCAGCTGGGACACCTCGGGGAGACGCCGGGAAGGACCTTGGGCAAATCCCCCAGCCTCTCAGCTCTGGGTGCCTGTTCTGAGAAGTGCACATCATCACAGTCTCCCTCCACAGAGAGGCCGATGTGGCTGAAACGATGCTCTGGTACAGCACTCATCACACAGCTGGGGTCCAACAGGCAGCCAGCAGACCTGCTCGAGGGGACCCACCTCTCCCCAAACTTCTCTCTCCTCCCCCCGACCTTCCCAGCCTTGGAGCCTACAAAGCCCCCGCGCTGTCTCCACCAAGCCACTGTCTCCCTGCAATCAGGAACCCCAGGGCAGGGCAGCCCTTCTGCGTGTGCTCAGAGCACCAGAAAGCCTCTGGTCCCTAGAGTTCAAAGGGCACAGGGAGCAGCCCACCTGGCCCCGAGACAGCAGCGGAACTACACTACCCAGAATTCCCGGGGCTGGCCAAAAAGGAAATGTCGTTTGTTCAAGGAGAGGCTCAGCTCCCCGAGCAGCTGCAGAGAGAGGGAGCGAGGGGGAGCGAGGGATTACCAGAGGGAGGGCGGGCTGTGTGCGGGGAGCGAGGGTGGAGAGCCGGGCGGGCGGGGAGGAGGAGGCGGCGCCCGCCCGCCGCCGCCGCCGCCGCCGCCGCCTGCGGACCTGCATCCCCGCGGGGCCGGCGAGCGGGCGGCGGTCCCTGCGTGCGCCGGCTGCGCTTGGCCGGCGGCGGCGAGCGGACGCGGGGGCCGGGCCGGCGCAGGGGCCGAGTTTCTGCAAAGTTTGACCCGGTTGCCTTTCCGATGCTGCAGCAGAGCGAGGCAGCGCGGGGCGCGCCAGGCGGCTGCGGCGCGGCGGCGGGGCTGAGCGGCGACAGCGCGCTCACAATGATCATAAAATAAAGGAGGCGCGCGGGGTGGGGGCGAGAGAGCCCCGAGCCTCAGCCCTCCGCCCCCGGCCGCCCCCCGAAGCCCCGAGCCGGGAGGAGGGTGGGGGCCGGGGGCACTCACGCCGGCCCCAGATTCCAGTAGAGCCAAGGGACAGTGCCCGGGGAAGGGGGTGGGGGCGCCCCAAGAACGTGCCCGCGGCTGGGTCAGGGGCGTTCGGAGGGCGGCGACCCGGCCAGCAGAGCGGCCCCCGGGGCAGGTGAGTCGGCGGCGCCGCCCGGGTGGGGGCGTGCGCGCCAAAGTTCCCCGGCAGCGGCGAGCGCGCCCGACGCGCGGGACCCGGGGCTGCTCGCGGCTGGAGAGGGGCGACAGAGGCGCTTGACGCGGCGGGGCGGGGGCACTACGCTCTCCGAGGGCCGGGGGACCCCAGCAGGGAAAGGGGTGCCCGCCGGATCCGACGGCCCTGGTGGGTGGCGCTGTGCCCAAGGGGCCGGAGGGACGGGGTGGGGAAGGGGCACCTGGCGCTGGCGGCGCGGTGGTGGGGACAGCGCAGGGCAAGTGCTCGTCGCCCCCTGCAGCGACAGCCGCTCGCCCCCCACCCCGCCCCCGCCAGGGACGGTATCAGCGGAGATGTCACGGGCGGCTATTATTCGCTGGTGCGCGCGGTCGTGCGGTCGCCACTGACGGGGCGGGCGCAGGGGGCGGGGGCCGCCGCCTCCGGGGAGACCGCCCAGAGCTGCGCCGTCAGCTCCGCAGCCCGCGCCCAGCGCACACGCGTCGCCGCCCCCGCGCGCCCCCCGCAGCAAAGTTCGGCTCAACTTTGAGGCGGGCCTTGACGCGCTGTCCCTTCCACCTCCCACCAGGTCCTCGGCGGCCGTGGCGAAGCAGGCGGCGGCGGCTGGAGCGCAGCCCCGGGACCCTGCACGGCGGCCGGCAGCGACAGCGGCGAGGGGACGCGGCGTGCCCGCGTGGGGACGTCCGGCCGGCGCCCGCGAGTGGGCGCCGACGGGGACCCGCGCCGCGCTCCCCCGACACCGGCGAGCGGCCCGAGCCCTGAGCTCGCCTCCTGGAAGCCGCGGGTCGGCGCTTGCCCCGAGGGCGCCGGGACCTCGGCCGGTGGACAGAAACTGCTCTGCAATTGATTCGGCCGCGCCGGGCGGGTGCGGGTGCGGGGCCCGGAGGGAGCGCGTGCGGAAGGCCGGAGGGCAGGAAGTCAGGCTTCTGCAGCGAGGGTGGCGCGACCGCACGGGGACGGAGCCTTCCTTATTTATGAGTCTGCCGGCGCTCGCCTGCTTCCTCCGAAGACTTGAGGGAGAGTCTGCGAGCTGCCGTCCCCGCGTATGAGGCACAGAAGGGCCGGATGTCAGAACGACATAATTATTCATTAAACTACAAACTTTTCTTTTTTTAACCCAAAGAATATCGGTGATTTTTGTCCACTGCGAGGAGAAGAAGAGCGAGCCCAGGGCTCGTGAAATGCAGCAGAATCCTTATTTATAAACAGGCCGAGGTAGTGATATATGCGACCCCCCCTCTACTCAGTGACTTTTCTATCCTATGGATATCGGTCTTGAGAGTTGAGATTGGAGAGCAGCGCCGTCTGCACTGGGTCCTGCAGCCTCCGTCCTTTCAATGCCTGGTTTTCTCTGTGACTGCTGGCCTTCCCTGGAGATCAGAGCGCTCCTGTGTGCCATGGGCTGTATTCAGAGCATCGGAGGTAAAGCCAGAGTCTTCCGGGAAGGGATCACGGTGATTGATGTGAAAGCCTCCATCGACCCCGTCCCCACCAGCATCGATGAGTCCTCCAGCGTGGTGCTCCGCTACCGGACACCCCACTTCCGGGCCTCGGCCCAGGTGGTCATGCCTCCCATCCCCAAGAAGGAGACTTGGATAGTTGGCTGGATCCAGGCGTGCAGCCACATGGAGTTCTACAACCAGTACGGCGAGCAGGGCATGTGAGTACGGCGGAGAGCCAGCTCTGGGAACTGCTAGGGATGGCCGAGCTTGGAGGCCTGGTGAGGGGCGGCCCATAGTGGGGAAGGTGGAGATACCATGGAGACAGGACCCAGGCCAGAGAGAAGCTTTAGGCAGGTATGCAGGTGGCCTCCTTGGCCCGGTGTCTCCCTGAAGAGTTTCCCTGTGGATCTAGATTGGAGTCACAGTTCTGCACCGTACCCTGCCACTGTTTCCCCGGGGTTCCTGTCTCCTTCCTTGCAAGATGCCGAGAAAGCAGAGGAACATTACTCCCAGTGTTTCCTGGCAGAGCAAGCGTGCCGTCCGCCTGAGGAGTGTTAGCGCCATCAGGGGTCACCAGAGAGGCTGGAGGGCTGCCCTCCAGGCCTCTGGCCCTGTGGGGGCCCATGGCAGACACTCAGGCACTCTGCAACTCCCAGACCGGTGTGTTCAGGGCTTTGCGATTGGGCCTCAATTATCTCTCTGGCTTATACGAGTGCGTGCGAGGACCTGGGGGAGTGCTTCGCTATTCCAAACGGCACTGTGTTTGAGAGCACAGTTAGTTTTACAAGCCCGATTTCTTCACAGTGTAGCGCTTTCTGTCTCCAAGGCAGAAGGCCACTTTGCGCAGGCAAGTCCAGTGTTCCCCCCGGGAGGCCCTAACAGCAACAGCAAAGAGGAGCCTCTCCTGCAGCCCCGAAGCCCCGTCTCCAGAGTGTGCCTAGGGTACTGGGGGTCCCGGTGAGGACCCTGGGGCCCTGGGGCTCCTTTCCTGGCCTGCTTCCTGACCCCAGAGAAGGCCGTCCCCATGGTGAAAATAGCTGTTTCTGAGCATGAGGAGGGCTAGGCAGGCCCTGGTGGGTAGCCCACCCATGTGGCCCCCTGACTGGCCGCGGACACTCCCAGAGCCCCTCTCAGCGTCTACCCTGTGCAGCTTCACTTCCCCGTTTTGCAAGTGGGGAAAAGAGGAGAATTTCCCCAGGAGTTCGAACTTATCACGGATTTAAGAACCTCGTGGGCCACCTGTAAAGGAGAGGGGTGGAGGATGGCGGGACACAAGTCTGGTGGCTTCTCTACTTAATGACTGCAAAGTTCTAAAGGAAACATGAGGATCACAGTAACCCTTAAATCCAGCGTGTGACTGTGACCATCCCAAAGAGGTGCATGGAGAGCACATGCAGAGGCTCTCACCGGCCGTCTCCACCAGCCTGGTATCTGTGCCAAGCCTTTTGCGTCTCAAGAGCAGCTAGTAATCCAGTTCAGGCCGGGGGCTGCCTTTCTATTCTAAGCAGGGAAACATGATTCTTAGTTATGCAGTGAGGACCTTTTCTAAGAACCCTTAAGCCCATAAACCTCCTCGGGCTTTGAAGGCATCCGGGACAGTTGTAGAAACAAAAGTCTTCCTCGGGGTTTTGGGCTAAGCCTAGTTGATTCCCTAGAAGGGGTTGGGAAGCGGGTGTCGTCTTCTGAACTTGGAAAGACTTGAGCACTCGTCGAGACTGTATTCTAATGAGGTTGGTGCAACGTGTGGTGGGGAGGCCACAGGCCTGACCCAAGGTACAGACTCCAAGCCTCAGCTTCCCCTTCCGTGCACCCGGGCTTCCGATGTCTTCACTAAGACTCGTTCTCCATCTGGTGACCCTGAGTAGGTGAGGGTGATGTGGCTGGAGCCAGGCCTGAGATTGGGAACTGAGGCAGGTTTGCCCTCCCTGTGCCAGTCCTCACTTCCTGGTTGGAAGAGCCTCATGCCTTCTTAGGCAGATGTGGGCGGGAGGCCAGGCTCTGCCACTTCCCAGGATGTGACCCTCGGCAAGTCCCTTTACTGCTCTGAGCCTCAGTTTACACATCTGCAAAATGGGGCTGGCGATAACCCCTTCCCCATGGCTTCTTGTGAGAATCACTCAAGCCAACCAAATTTGCCATGCAGTCAGCCCTGCGCCAAGCTCGTGGTGAATCCTCACCGCAGGCAGTCATGGGATGGGGATCGTCCTTAGCGGTGTTGTCACTGTTACTGTTATTCCATCAGACGTGAGGGGCTAAAGCTACAGAATTAGGACAGATGTCAGCCACACTGTGTAGTGAATCTTCTCCCCAGGCTGAGTCTTTGTCTGTCACGTAGGGCCCACTTCCTGAGTGTAGAACTTTTTAAAGCAGTGTAAGGCATGAAGAGCTTGCGTTTTCAAGTGGCTCCAGACCATTTTCCTTGCTCTCCCTCTGCCCCTGACGTTTCTCTTTGCTCCCTCTCGTTCTCGGGACTCCTCTTTCGCTGCAGGGAGCCTCTGTGTCCCACCCAGCTCATTCTCCCTGGGTGCACTGGCTGTGTAATCCCAGTTGGGATACACAGGGACCAGCCCCAGGGACAGGATGCAGTCGGAGGCTCCCTGGGAGGGGTGGCTTGGAGCAGTTGGGCAGAAGGGTCCACGTGTCCTGGCTCCTAAGGCCTTGGCCAGGCAGCCCCCGGACTTCCATTCCGTGTCTGTCCGTGAGGGTGAGAACTTCCCGTAGGCTGCTGTGAGGATTCAGCGAGAGGCCAGTATGGGTGGCTGTCCTGTAGCTGAGCCGTAGAGGAGGAGGCTGCCAAGTACTTATTAGGAATCAACAGAATCAGCCTAATGGGCTGAGTGGCCAAAGAAGAGAGTCCCTTGAAGGGCTCATGGAGAAGGCCAGGATGTGGCCTTACTTTAGCTCCTTGCTGAATGGAAATAGAAGCATTTAGGTGGGATTTAGTTATTTTTTTTTTTTTTAATTTTTATTTATTTATTTATTTTTTGAGACAGTCTTATTCTTGTCCCCCAGGCTGGAATGCAGTGGTGCCAATCTTGGCTCACTGTAACCTCTGCCTCCCGGGTTCAAGTGATTCTCTTGCTCCAGCTTCCAGAGTAGCTGGGATTTCAAGCACACACCATCACACCCAGCTAATTTTTATATTTTTAGTAGAGACGGGGTTTCCCCATGTTGGCCAGGATGGTCTCGAACTCCTGACCTCGGGTGATCTGCCTGCCTCAGCTCCCAAAGGGCTAGGATTACAGGCGTGAGCCTTAGGTGGGATTTAAAACCCCTTCCTGTCTCCCCTGCCCCTAGGCCTTCCATTTTCCAAGTTTTTAAGCCTTGTGGCATGAAGGAAAGGGAACAGTGGTTGGGGTGACCAGGAACCCCAACCGGCCCAGAATTGTCCCTCTGCTCTGCCTGGCCCAGGATCAGGTAATTCTTTGTGCTGGTGGGGGGTGTCCTGTGCATGGGTAGGGGGCTGGGCAGCATCCCTGCTCTCTACCCACTGCATGCCAGGAGCACATCCCCGCAAGCTGTGACAGTCAGTAATGTCCCCGGGGAGAGCCCGATGTCCCCAGGAGGGGCTATGAAATCACACCTAGTGGAGGACCGCTGGACTTGACCCAGACAATTCACATCCTTAAAATGAAACCTAGGCCCTGTGCTTTAGTGGCCCGGGGAAGGGACAGCCAGGTAACGAGAGCTAGGTTAGGGCTTTCATTCTTTACAAATGGACTTGTATCCAAAATGTTAATTCCAGATACTTAACCGAAATCCGTCATACCCCCAAACGTTATCCCTGCTTAAAATTAATCCCTAAACCAGGAGGATCACTTTTTAGAATGACATTCTGGGTTTGAAACATTTGAAATGAAACAATTAAAAAAAACAAAACAAAACAACAACAAAAAAACACACACCATCTCAATAATACCCTGACTTTTACAGACAGAGCTGGAAAAGAGTGAGTTTCTCTGTGCCAGCATGAGAGGATTCTATATGGCTTTGGGTCCAACCCACATCGCTTTAAAATCCAACCCCCCCCTTCTCCAAATTGTTGGAGACACCTGCCTCCACAGCCCGGCCCCCGCAATTCCTCAACTGCCACCTGTCAGCTGGCACAGAGTCTTCTAAGTGACAAGTCACAATTTCTCGCCTGTGTGGGAGAAGTTCCACGTTGTCCCTGGTTTGCCCTTCTCTGGAGCCCCCTGGGAACCTGGCCCACAGCCACGCCCATGGCCAAGGCCAAGGCCAGGGGCAGTTTATGGCTCTGGAGTCTGCCAAAGGGCAGACTGGGTGGGGAGGAGGGGGAGCAGCTCAGATGGAAAGGGTTTCTTTGGGTTGATGGGGACACTGCTCCATGCCCATGTGTAGCAAGGTCTGAACCCTAGCTCCCAACCCTTGGGCCAGCCTCTTAACCTTTCCAAGCCTCACTGTTCCTGTCTGTGAAATGGGAATATGAGTTCTCCCTCAGGGTTGTGATGATAAGAGCTTAACCCTTGGCCGGGCGCGGTGGCTCACGCCTGTAATCCCAGCTCTCAGGGAGGCAGAGGTGGGAGGATAGCTTGAGCCCAGGAGTTCGAGACCTGCCTGGGTAATATAGCGAGACCCTGTTCTCCACAAAAAGGAGAAAAAAAAAAAAAAAGACAAAAAAAAAAAAAGAGCTTAACCCAGCACCTCACATATACCAGGCACTCAATATATGGTAGCCGTCAATACCACAGCTATGAATCATGATACTGACAATGTCTTATTCATTATGCGGTGCCTGTCAGAGTCAGCGGAAAGGTGGCTGTCTTGTTGCTGTTGTTACATTATCCCTTCTCCTGGGTTTCAGATACCTGTCTATAGCATGAATGCTGTCACTGTGTTACGAAAGGTCAGTGGGGCCGGGCACGGTGGCTCACACCTGTAATCCCAGCACTTTGGGAGGCTGAGGCTGGCGGATCACGAGGTCAGGACATCGAGACCATCCTGGCTAACATGGTGAAACCTCGTCTCTACTAAAAATACAAAAAATTAGCTGGGCGTGGTGGCGGGCACCTGTAGTCCCAACTACTCGGGAGGCTGAGGCAGGAGAACGGCACGAACCTGAGAGGCGGAGCTTGCAGTGAGCCGAGATCGCACCACTGCACTCCAGCCTGGGCGACAGAGTGAGACTCCATCTCAGAAAAAAAAAAAAAAGAAAAGAAAGGCCAGTAGCCAGCCTGGACAACACAGTGAAACCCTGTGC